ACTGCTTCTGCTGCCCCTACTACCATTGCTGCTGCTTCCCCTGCTACGCTTGCTGCATCTGCAGGTGCTGCGGCTTTCACTGCTCTTGCTCCTGCTGCAACTGCTTCCGAGGCTACTCGTGCCTCTTCCTCTGCCACTGTCGCTTCTGCTGTCCCTACTCCTCTTGCTGCCCCAACAGTTTCTGCTGTCGCTCCTGCTCCTGCTCCTGCTCCTGCTCCTGCCCATGCCCCTGCCCCTGCTCCCACCACCACTGTCCCAATCGCTGCGCCCGCCACCGTCACCACTGTTATCGTGCCATTCAAACTGCTACACCAACCATGGTGGTGTTACACAGACCCCAAAGGGCGCATTCAGGGACCCCACTCACTTACTCAGTTGTACCAGTGGGAAGGCCACGCGGGGTTCAGGGATACGCTTGTGTGGAATGCGAGGGATGCTGCTGTTAGTGGTGGTGCTGTGATTGCAAATCGGTTGGGGTCGCTTTTGGATGAGTGGAGGCCGGTGAAACTAGCAGCAGACCAGCAGCAGTTGGCACGAGAGCAGCAATTGGCAGCAGGGCAGCAGATAGCAGCAGGGCAGCAGTTGGCAGCAGGGCAGCAGTTAGCAGCAGGGCAGCAGTTTGCAGCAGGGCAGCAGATAGCAACAGGGCAGCAATTAGCAGCAGGGCAGCAATTGGCAGCAGAAGCCAAATCAGAAAAGGCAGAAGGAGCAGGTGAAACAAGAGTAGCAAGGCCAACAGCAACACCTGGGGGGGAAGTAGTTGCGGCAGATGGGGTAGGAAGAGCAGCAGGAGAAGCTACAGCTGCAGGAGCATTGGTAGGAGGAGCAGCAGGAGCAGCAACTGCAGCAAGGGCAACGGGAACATCGACGGAAATGGTACCGGCTTTGCGAATAGGGCTGAAGATCGTGGCACATGGAGAGGAACGAAGGGTGGTGGCTGCTACTCCTACTACACCAGCAGCAGCAGTAGCACCAGGAGCAACAGGTGTAACAGCAGCAGCCGGAGCAACAGGAGCAGCAGTTGTAACAGGTGTAACAGCAGCAGCAGGAGCAACAGGTGTAACAGGTGTAACAGCAGCAGCAGGAGCAACAGGTGTAACAGGTGTAACAGCAGCAGCAGTAGCAGCAGGAGCCACTGCAGCAGCAACGGCAACAGAAATGGAAGATGTGCCAGCAGCAACATCAGTAAGTGGTGGTGTTGATACTGCTGCTGCTGCTGATGTTGATGATGGTAATGGTGCTGCTGGTACTGCAGCAACAACAACGGCAACAGAAATGGAAGATGTGCCAGCAGCACCATCAGCTAGTGGTGCTGGTGGTTCTGTTGATGGTGGTGCTGATGGTGGTGCTGGTGGTTCTGCCGATGGTGGTGCTGCTGATGGTGGTGGTGCTGCTGATGGTGGTGGTGCTGCTGATGGTGGTGGTGCTGCTGTCGCTGCTGCTTTTGCTGCTGCTGATGGCGCTTCTGCTGGTGCTGCTGACGACGATAATGATGGTGGTTATGGTGATGGTGGTGACTATAATGGTGTTGACATGGATTGCAGTGAGGAGGATGAGGATGTGGAAGAATGTGACTATGGCGAGAGTGATGATGAGAGTGAGGAGGATTCATTAGACTCTATGGAACTGAAGCTGGGGATACGGAGGAGGAGAGAGGAGAGGCTCGCACAGGCAATGGGGGCCATGGGAGGGGGTGGAGGAGGGGGGTGGGGAAACGGAGAGGGGAATGGAGAGGAAAGGGCAGGTGGTGGGGGAATGGAGAGGACTGAAGGGGCAGTGGGCGGAGTGGGGGGCGTGGGAGCGGGAGGAGGAGGAGGAGTGGGAAATGGTTCTGAGACGGCACAAAACTCTGGCGGCAGAGTGGGTGGAGGAGGCGACGGGAGAGGGGGAGAAGTGGGAGTGAGTGGTAAGAGAGTGGGAGAGGGTGGTAAGGGAATGGGGGAGGGTGGTAAGGGAGTGACAGAAGAAAGCTGCAGTGTGTTGAGAGGGCAAGGGAAGGGAATGGAGGGGGTGGGAGAGAGAGTGGAATTGGAAGGGAGATCTGGAGTGGCAGGGACTGGAAGGGGAAGAAAGGAGCAAGGGACAGGAGGAGAGGTGCAAGGGACAAGAGGAGAGGAGCAAGGGAGAAGAGGAGAGGAGCAAGGGACAAGAGGAGAAGAGGGCAGGAGGAGCAATGAAGTTAGTAGTCCCAGCAGCAGAAAAAGCAGGGGTAGAGAGAGGAGCAGGAGCAAGGATAAGGGTAGGCACAGGAGTAGGAGCAGAGAAAGGGGAAGGAGGAGCAGGAGCAGAGATAGGGGTAGAAAGAGAAGCAGTAGCAAGGATAGGGGAAGGCACAGGAGTGGAAGCAGGGACAGGGAAAGGACGAGGAGTAGGAGCAGAGATGGAAGAAGCATGAGCAGAAGCAGAAGCAGAGACAGGAGGAGAGGAAAGGAGAGGAGCAGCAGAAGTAGGAGCAGGGAGAGGAGGGAACGGTGGGAGCGGAGAGAGGAAAGAGAGAGGGAATTGGAGCGAGGGGGGTCGGGGTGGAGGGGTGAAGGGGCGGAGATGCTAGGGATTCCGAGTTGGGGAGAAGGCGTGGAAGGTGGAGGGAGAGGAAGAGGCGTGAGAGGGAGGGGAGGGAGAGGGAGAGGGGGGGGGAGGGGGGGAGGGGAAGGGGAGGGGAAGGAAGGGTTTACAGCTTCAGAGCTCAGCCAAGCGCTGATGCTGGTGCGGAGGAGGGACCACCTGGGTTCAAGCATGGGCATTCAGTGGGGGAAGGGCTGGCGGGAGCACAAGGGGAAGGGCTTTTGGTAGTGAAAGGGCTGGCGGAAGAGCAAGTGCGAGGGCGAGAAGAAGGGCGAGTGGAGGGACGATCGGAAGGGAAATCACAGGGGCAGGAGCGTTTGTACGATGGATGGGGGTCAGGAGAAGTCGGTTCAGAGGGGTGGGGAGGAGCAGGGGGGAGTTGGGGGAGAGAAGGGGGAGTTGGAGGGGGAAGTGGAGGTGGTTGGGGAGGGGGTTGGGGGAAAGGGGGTGGTCAGGGGGAAGGAGAAGGGGGAGGAGGAGGGTGGGGCGGAGGTAGTTGGGCAGGGGAAGGGGAAGGTGGGGGCGGTTGGGGAGCAGTAGGAACAGGTGGTTGGGGGGAAGGGGGAGGAGCAGTAAGGGGAGAGGGATGTGGGGACAGAGGTGGTTGGGGAGGAAAAGGGGGTGATGACGGTTGGGGAAGGCTAAGGACAGGGGCTTTGGGGGAAGTGGGAGGTGAAGGGGGAGGAGAAGGAAGAGGGGGAGGGGGAGGCAGAGGTAGTTGGGGAGGAGAAGGAGGGCAAGGGTGGGGTTCAGAAGCAGACGGAAAGAAAGGAGGAGCACGGCGACAGAATGTCAAGCAGGAGATTAGCCCCTTGGACGCGTGGGAGGGGCGTGGGAGAGGAAGGGACGAGAGCGTGTGTGATAGGGAAGCAATGCATGGAGGAAGGGGAATTGGAGGAAGTGGGGTACAAGGAAGAGGAGATATAGGAGGGAGAGGAAGAAGGGGAGGAAGAGGAGGAAGGGGTGGAAGAGGAGTAAGAGGTGGGTTAGGAGGAGGAAGAGAGGATTGGATATGGAAGAGGTAGATTGGAAGGTACGGTACCCAGGAAATGTACTGTAGGATTAGGAAACGCTAGGTGAGTTGATGGCGCATTCAGGGTGGTATGGAAGCTGGAAAAAAGGATCAGCATGAATCAATCTGTGAAATCATGTGAAGTCAATATACTCTTCTAAGATGCAGATTGCTCATTCATTGCTGGTTCTACTTATTAACTAAGAGAAAATGTTGAAGCTTCCTTGGGCACCTGCTCATTTTTGCTTCCGGTTTCGAGGATGTTTTTGTCGAGGGTATCGGCGGCGAGCCACTTTCCGGGCCGCACACCGACAAACCGCACCAATAGGCATTTGCTGCTTCACGTAGGTTGCTGTTTGGTTGGGTAGCGAATGACAGCAGCGCTTCGGCGAAGCAAGAATCGAGTGCGCGAATTGAACCAAAACCTTGGCTTGGGAGAGCATGGTGCTGTTCTGTAGGCGTTAAATTTCCAGAAACTGGGTCCGCAGAATCTTCGTTGATAGATGGTATTCTGCCTATCAAGGCTTGGTGATAAGAGAGGTCCTGCCAAACCTGTTCGCGCCAAATTTAACGCTCTCGCCTGCAGAACACCACTAATGCGGCGCACGAATTGAACCGTCTGCAGGCTCGAAGTTGTTGCTTCGCCGGGCAAATGGTCGCACAACTTGTGCGGTGCTGATTTTACCTCGGGGGCTAGCGTCAGCCTCAGCACAGGTTATGCGGGGCAGCAATTTCCGTGCAACGCAACCCGCCTGAATGCGCCCAGAAATTACATGGAAGGCCATGGCGGTCAAATTGGTGCGGCGCCATAACGCCTGCAGAACAACGCCCATATGTTTCGGCATGCATGCACATCAGAAATTTGGACGGCTGCGATCATGCACGGAAAGTGGTGATAGGCAGGAAACAGCTTGCCATGTCAGGAGATGCTCGCAGCGAACGTGGCGAGATCCAGAACCGTCGATTGATTTGGCTGCCGAACCTGGTTCGGGGTCATCCCCACGGGCCGAACTGCTACAGCAGCTGCAAACCCCTGACCACCGACATGAGTACAGAATAATCACAGCGGTTCGATTCGGTAACATACGTTTTCTCCTGGTAAAGAGGTGTTGGAGCGTGCAGGTTGTGGCTGTTGGATGAGGGTGGCAAAATGATCTGTTGCTTTCTCCTCAGGTGCTGCAATTGTGCTGATCATCCAAGCGTTAAGTGCGCGGGCCATGAGACGGAATCTCACAGTGCTTACGTGGTCGAATCGAGGACTGGAATCAGCGGTTCTCACTCAAGCGCCTGGCGCTATATGTGCCGAAATACTTTCTAGAATGACTGAAAACCTTCATGGTGTTGTTGTCGAACAATCTCTCGTCCAAGTCCAACTCCCTCAATTCACCCTTCGCTCGAGGTTAGTGGAGTCGAATTCGCAACGATGGCGTGGATTCGCTGGCAAATTCTAGCAACGCTCGCCGTTCTGTTTATCGCGCAGAGCGCGGACGCAGCCGGGCTGATCCCGGGCTTTCCGATCCCGATCCCCGGCGTCGGAACCGGCGTGTGCACATGGGATCAGTTCGTGGGCGAAATGAAGAAGCTTCAGCGAACTTTGGCGAAAAATCCTATCCGTTACGGTGGCATGGCCATCGCGCTGAAACAAGGACTGAAAAAAATGCGTGAGTGCTCGTGTAGTTTGGTCAAAAGGATGGTCCGAGTCGCGTTGACGCCGGTTCGGGATGAAAGCCCAGCATAGGTGTTTCATTGACATGCGAGCTTTTTAATTACCCTAACTCTTTCCTTTCTCCTCCTACACTCACACCCTTTGCTCTTCCCCGTCTCCCACATTCCTCTCCCCCCCCCCCCCCCCCCCCCCCCCCCTTCTTTATCTTCATTCCCCTTCCTTAACAGAAAAGAATGCTCCAAGCGAATTGCTCCCTGCGGTCACCATTCTCGTTCCAACAAATCGCGCGCTTCTCGCCGCGAGCCTGAACCCCGCTTTCCTGATCGACCTCATTCAAAACAAGAAGAAGGTACAGGGTATCGCCAAGGTGAACGTGCTCGTCGGCGAATACGACTACAATACATTGAAGTCTACACCCAAGGGGCAAGGAATACAAACGGCGGATTCGAAAAAGAAGGTCGCGCGATACAAGGGCCAGGATAGCCCGATGACGCAAGGCACGGGAATGACGCTGGGCGTTGTCGGGGCGAAGGGACGAGCGGAGGTTATGAATAAGGACCTGTTTAGCGGTAATTGCGTTGTTGCGCAAGGAATCAGCAGACTGCTCCAGCCATGAACGCAGCCAATTTTTTCTGCTCAGCTCAAGGTTTGATAATGAGGGACCAAGGCTTTTGCTGGGTGTACAGAGAGAATGAAGCTGCTGTGGATCTGTTTGTGAACGATCAACGGCTGCTGTGAACCGACTGGGGATACAGAGATGCGCAAGAAACATATATTCCGTGTTTCCCCGAAATGTAACATATATTCCGTGATTTTTAAGAAATGTAATATCCTGTTCTTCCATAATCTGTATATATAGGTCTACTCTTGTAATGCGCTGACAGTCCCCGCCTATAGGGAGAATTTTTGGAAGAAACACCAGCTGGCACTCCGCACCCAGCCACCCAGCCACGAACTACAGAGTCAAATTGGGGGAGTAGAAAATGGCACATGTTAGGGTGTGTTCTTACCTCCGTGTCATACAGGCTTCGTGTCATCCGAAATTGTGATATTTAATCGAAAAAGACAAAGCTCGAAACACGGGTTTTTCGATTGGCTCCCACAATTTCGGATGACACAAATACGGAAGGAAACGAATCTAGGAATACGCCCTACAGTGTAGCCCGCCGTGTATGAACAGTCAACAAGGGCAACCGGCAGGAAAACTAGAACCCGCATAGTCAACTCTAATCCGAATCGCCTCCGTTTTCTATTGGGTACATAGTGCATTCTGCCCCTGCCCTAATCTACTATTTATCAAACTCAGCTCAAGAGTGCCCGACTCCTTACGGCACTCACTCCCCGTTTGCTCCTGAGTCCTGAGCTACTCCTGACGCGTTGGTGTTTTCGTAAAAGAAAGAAAGTCAACGCGGATCTGTTGTAAGCTCGTAAGGCCTCTAACAGTCGCAGGGTGGTATATATAAATAGGTGAAAGCCCATGATGCGTCACTTCACTTTCCCGCGTTCCATCTTCTACTACCTTCGACGGACCAACCAAACCCATCTGTCAGATTCGTCGTCAGCAGCCTCGAGTTTTCGATCATGATTTCGAATCGCGTTCGTATTTTCGCAGCGCTCGCAGTTTTTCTCATCGGGCAGACCGTTGCCGCAGCCGTCGTAAGTCCAGGCTTCCCGTTCCCCGACGTCGGATGCACGTGGCGACAGTTCGTCGGCGACCTGAAGAAGCTTCAACGAACTTTGGCGAAACGACCAACGCGTTACGACGGCATGGCTATTGCGATGAGCAAAGGGCTTGAATACAAGGGTCAGTGCTCGTTCATGCAGTCTGGACAAAGGATGGAATACAAGAGCCTCCTGTACGGCTCCATGCCACTTGAGTGCGGTTGAAGAAAGGGCTAGAATACAAGGATCAGTGGTGCTCGTTCATGCAAACTGGACAACGGATAGTAATACAGGAGGCAGCGGCGATTTCTGAGTCGACCCTAAAACGAAGGTTGCGCTTTCATGCAGTCTTTTGAACAGATAATGTTAGTAGTACAAGGAGGCAGGGGGGTTGAGCTGGGTTCTGAGTCGACTCAAGCTCCTTCATGCAGTATATTTTTACTTTTTGAGACAAGTGACATTCGAGAAAGATGGACTTCTGGTATCGTCTCACCCCCTTCTCCCTTCCCCCTTCTCCCTTCCCCTTCTCCCTTCCCCCCTGCCCACACACCCTGCTCCCCCTCCCCCATCCTCCCTCCCACAACCCCGCCTCCCCCTCAACCCCCATTCCCCCCTCTCTTCCTGCGCTTCCCCCTTGCCTTTTCCCAAACAGAAAAGGACGCTCCTAGCAAGTTGCCTCCCGCGGTAACCATTCTCGTTCCAACCAATCGCGCGCTTGTCAACGCGAGCATCAACCCCGCGATTCTAATGCAACTAATTTGGAAGACGAAAAAGGTTCAGGATATCGCAATGGTTAATGTGCTCTTCGACAATTATGACTACGTTACTTTGAAAGCGCAACCCAAGGGTAAAGGGTTACCAACGGCGGATCCGAAAAAGAAAGTCGTGGTTTACAACCCGCTGATCAAGGGCCCGCGACTGGTGCTAGGCGTGCTGGGGGGGAAGTCACGAACGGAGATCGTAAATAAGGACCTGTTTCGCGGTAGTTGCGTGGCTGCGCATGGAACCAGCAGCGTGCTGCACCCGTGAATACCGGCAACTCTCGTGTTCGGCTCAAAACCTTGAGGTTGTTCAGTATACGGAGGCTTTCGCTGGCAATAAAGCATTGTGAGAGCTTGAGAATGGGACCTGTGTTTTGGTGGTACTACAGCCGCCTCCTAGATCGAGATTTGAGAAGCAGGTTGGTTGATGTTGAAGGAGGAGCAGAGCAGCGGGAATCGAGGGTTGCGGGATAGGCGGTGACGGAGATCAGCGGCTGCTGATGACTGAAACTGCAAGGTCGCAGAATCAACTGGGAGTTTAGCGATTGCTCCGTAGTTTTGATAAATCCGACTCTGTACAAAGTGAATCTTGCGGAATTTGACAAAGGAATATGTTACAACCCAGGGAAAATACTTCTAAACAGAGGGTGGTCCAAATTTGTTCACAGCTATCTCATCACAAACTGCACCAGTGCAGGTTATTTTGTGTCTTGAGGGAAATTACGAAATCCAAAGTCATGTAGAACACCCTGAAATACAAAATACGAACACAAATTAATATCTCATGCTGCATCACTAAACCTAGGACTCGAGCTATTGAAGAAAATTATATGGTAAGCTGTTAGCAGGAAAAAGGCACCGTGTGGTGCCAACGGGTGGCCAGTGAGAATAACTTACCAGAGCATCCTTTATTCCATAAGCGATACAGTAGTGTTCCTGTACGTACATAAAAGGGGTTGATCATCGGGATTGAATCAGTGCTAGTACGGTAGAACCGAAATGAAGGTGGAATTTGCCTCAGAAGTATACGCCTAAGAGACCAACGGATTATGAGTTGTAACATGAAATGGTAAAAGTAAGCAATGATGAAGCCTACCTGCATGAGATGCCACTCCTCAAACTCATCGAATATCTCCAGTGGTTCGATTCTGGAACGACGAGAACAAGGGAATATGAATGAGACGTGAAAACAGTCATGAATCGCAATGTGAAACGCGATGTGGAACGCGATGTGAAACGCAATCTGTAATGCAATGTGAGATGTGAAGCGAGAGTTGGACGAGGGAGTTGAGACTGAGACGAGGGAGTTGAGAAATGTAAACCAAACCAGGATGGGAGAGCAGGAGAGAAGATGTCAATGACGAAAAGTGGCACCAACAAGAGAGAAAAAGTCCAGTTCTTAGTAGGAAATTTTGGTACAGAGGTACAAACAAGCGAATGGGGTTATGGGGTTTACATGGCCCAATTAGGGGCGAAACAAAGCTCGCTAGAAATAACCATGGAATGGAATGGCACGTGCAGTGCAGTGTGTTGCCGTGCGGCACAGTGCAGTGCGGTGCAGTGCAGTGCGGTGTGGTGTAGTGAAGTGCTGTGTAGTGCACTGCACTGTGGCGCAATGAAGTGCAGTGCGATACTCACTTTCTGACGAGCTGTGGATCAATGTGGTGTGAGTATATCACATCCATATCCACTGCCTTGCTTCTCTGCACAAGGGCACAGAACCAAATGAAGGAAACAAAAAGTATTTTCTCTATCGTGTAGCACGTGAACCATCAATGGGGTGTGAGTATATCATCACGTCCATATCCACTGCCTTGCTTCTCTGCACAGTCACCGCACCAGACGAAGAAAAAACAGTCTCTCATACAACGCCAAACGGATAAAGCAATGAAACTGCCTCAAGTATCGATGTGGTGTGAGTATATCATCACGTCCATGTCCACTGCCTTGCTTCTCTGCACAACCACAGCACCAGATATGAACCAAACAAGATATATTTACATATATATATATATATATTAAAAAAAAAACAGTACCTTCGAATCACGAAGCCGGTACCACTACATCCCTGAAACACAGCGCTCCAACCCTGGAAAACAAGACTGGGACAATGAATGGGAAAAGCCTTACCTCAAAGCCACCGTCGAGAAATGCCTTCTTCTTTGCTTCTAGTGTTTTTTGAGGCACCTCAAAAATTCAACCCTGGAACACAAGACTGGGACCATGAAAGGGAAAAGCCTTACCTCAAAGCCACCGTCGAGGAACCTCTTCTCCTTTGCTTCTAGTGTTGGTGTCGCTCTGATACCAAGGAGAGGGCAGCCCCGAGCCTGACAAGCAGCCGGAGGTGCGGCAAGGTGAGGAACGATTAAGAGAGGTGAGGAGCAGTGTGGAGCAGTGAGGAGTGGTGGTATGTGTGGAGATGCATGGAACATTAGGAAGCGGTATACAACAAGAAGAGGCCAGCTCAAATCCAGATAAGCACCTGGAGGTGCATTGAGGTGAAGAGTGGTGAGGAACAGTGAGGAGTGGTGACATGAGATGCATGGAATATGAGCAGTACATTAGTGGTGTACAGGGAAGGGCAACCTGAGCTTTCTATATCTGGCAACACTTTCTAATAATAGCAGCCACGCAACCCCACCCACCTCCAGGTTTTGGATCACCTGCTGCCCGAATGCATCGCCTGGGCGGATCTGCTCGTAGACGACAAACACCGCAACACTTTCCATATCCAGCAATACTTTCCATATCCAGCAATACTTTCTATATCCAGCAATACTTTCCATATCCAGCAATACTTTCCATATCCAGCAATACTTTCCATATCCAGCAATACTTTCCATATCCAGCAATACTTTCTATATCCAGCAATACTTTCCATATCCAGCAATACTTTCCATATCCAGCAATACTTTCTATATCCAGCAATACTTTCCATATCCAGCAATACTTTCTATATCCAGCAATACTTTCCATATCCAGCAATACTTTCCAAATCCAGCAATACTTTCTATATCCAGGAATACTTCTATATCCGGCAATATTTTCTAAAAACAAACGCCCCAGCAGCCCACTCACCTCCAGGTTTTGAATCATCTGCTGCCCGAACGCATTGTCTGGGCGGATCTGCTCGTAGACGACAAACATGTCACACAGCAGTGCCCTGCCTTCTATAGCTTTCTATATCCAGCAACACTTTCTAAAATTAGCAACCAGTATCCAGTGAGTGCCTCACCTCGAGGTTTTGGATCATCTGCTGCCCGAATGCATCGTCGGGGCGGATCTGCTCGTAGACGACAAACGCCGCCGTGCCAAACTTCTCTGCCGCCCACGCCACGAGCTTGTGGCTGCTGGGCGCGTCCATGTAGATGAGCACACACTCGCAGAGGAATAACGTTGCTGTGCTGTTAGCAGGGGGGTGGGTGGGGGGGGGGGGGGGGGGGAGGATGCGAGTTTTGAGACGTCTCAAAAATGCTGTTAGCAGGGGGGTGGGTGGGGGGGGGGGGGGGGGGGGGGGGGGATGCGAGTGGAATTTGAAACAGTGCCTAGGACCACGCACGAGCCTGTGGCTGCTAGGCGCGTCCATGTAGATCAGTACGCACTCACAGAGGAGCAGCGTTGCCGTGCTGTTGGTAGGGGGGGAAAGACGCAGGCAAGACGGGAGGGGGAAGGCGAGTGGGATATAAAAATGCTGCTTAGATAGACCCTGGCTGCAAGCCTACTGCTGCTGGGCGCGTCCGTGTAGATGAGGCCGCACTCACAGAGGAACAGCGTTGCTGTGCTGTGATGGTGGTGCATGGGGGGGGGGATGTAGAAGGGATTTGCAGCAACGCTGGTGGTGGGAGGGATTTGCCCATCCCTTACACATCCCCCCCATGTGGAAGGGATCTGCAGCAGCTCATAAGATAAGACCCCGGGGTCCCAGGCGCTGCTGATGGGCGCGTCCATGTGGATGAGCACGAACTCCCACCCTCTCCACCCTTCTCCCCCCCTCTCCACCTCTCTCCATCCCTCTCCATCCCTCTCCACCGCTCCATCAACTCCCCTCTTACTCACTTGGGCCCAAACTCGGCTCCAGCTGCTGCAAGCGCCCGTTGCAGCTTATCAGCGTCTCTCAATTAGAATCGGTACGCACCGCGATTTGAAGGATGCATGCACCCCCCATTTTCCATCCCTCCCTTCACTCCCCTCACTCACTTGGGCCCAAACTCCGCTCCAGCTGCTGTGAGCACCTCGTGCAGCTCATCAGTGTCTCTGAACGCGAATGTGCCCTTTCTCCCTCCTTCTCCACCCCTCTCCACCCCTCCCCACCCATCCCTTCACTCCATTCACTCACTTGGGCCCGAACTCGGCTCCAGCTGCTGCAAGCGCCTCTTGCAGCTTATCAGTGTCTCTCAAATCGGCCGACACGAGGGAGTAGCCATTGGAGGAGCGCAGAACAGCACCCTCTGGAAGGCGGGGAGGAGCGTGCGGGTGGGAGGACGAGGGGTGGGGTGGGGAGGAGGAAGGAAAGAGAAAGAGTGAGAGCTTATCAGTGTCTCTCACATCGGCCGACACGAGGGAGTAGCCATTGGAGGAGCGCAGCGCAGCACCCTCTGGAAGGCGGGGAGGGAGGGGTGGAGGAGAAGGAGGGAGGAGAGGGTGAAAGCTTATTACTGTATCTCAAATCGGCTGACACGAGGGAGTAGCCGTTCGAAGAACGAAGCCTGCCAGCCTCTATCCAAGAAGAGGTGAAAAGGAGCGAAATGAAAAGGAGTGAAATGAAAAGGAGTGAAATGAAAAGGAGTGAAATGAAAAGGAGCGAAATGAAAAGGAGTGAAATGAAATGGAGCGAAATGAAAAGGAGTGAAATGAAATGGAGTGAAATGAAATGGAGTGAAATGAAATGGAGTGAAATGAAACGGAGTGAAATGAAACGGAGTGAAATGAAATGGAGTGAAATGAAATGGAGTGAAATGAAATGGAGCGAAATGAAATGGAGTGAAATGAAAAGGAGCGAAATGAAAAGGAGCGAAATGAAAAGGAGCGAAATGAAAAGGAGCGAAATGAAATGGAGCGAAATGAAAAGGAGCGAAATGAAAAGGAGTGAAATGAAATGGAGTGAAATGAAATGGAGTGAAATGAAATGGAGTGAAATGAAATGGAGTGAAATGAAATGGAGTGAAATGAAATGGAGTGAAATGAAAAGGAGTGAAATGAAATGGAGTGAAATGAAATGGAGTGAAATGAAAAGGAGCGAAATGAAAAGGAGTGAAATGAAATGGAGTGAAATGAAATGGAGCGAAATGAAAAGGAGTGAAATGAAATGGAGTGAAATGAAATGGAGTGAAATGAAATGGAGTGAAATGAAAAGGAGCGAAATGAAAAGGAGTGAAATGAAAAGGAGTGAAATGAAATGGAGTGAAATGAAATGGAGTGAAATGAAATGGAGTGAAATGAAAAGGAGTGAAATGAAAAGGAGTGAAATGAAAAGGAGTGAAATGAAAAGGAGTGAAATGAAAAGGAGTGAAATGAAAAGGAGTGAAATGAAATGGAGTGAAATGAAATGGAGTGAAATGAAATGGAGTGAAATGAAAAGGAGTGAAATGAAATGGAGTGAAATGAAATGGAGTGAAATGAAATGGAGTGAAATGAAATGGAGTGAAATGAAAAGGAGTGAAATGAAAAGGAGTGAAATGAAAAGGTGTGAAATGAAATGGAGTGAAATGAAAAGGAGTGAAATGAAGGAGTGAAATGAAAAGGAGTGAAATGAAAAGGAGTGAAATGAAATGGAGAGCGAAATGAAATGGAGTGAAATGAAATGGAGTGAAATGAAATGGAGTGAAATGAAATGGAGTGAAATGAAAAGGAGTGAAATGAAATGGAGTGAAATGAAAAGGAGCGAAATGAAAAGGAGTGAAAACCAATGGGAAACAGGTAGAGAAAAGGGGAGTGGGGAGGAAAGGGACAGTGTGAAGGGGAGAGAGATATGATCAGACATGTAACTGGGTAACACACCTACCAAGAGGAATGAGGCTTGAGTTGAGTCGACTCATATGTCATCTCCTTATGACAAGACTAAAGGAGCGTCGTCTAGGCCCTGCCAGGCATGCTGCGAGTGAATTGTACTTGTGGGCTGCCAGGAATGCTGAGCCCAGAAGCATGCCTGTAGACTTTTGAGTCGACTCAAAAGTTCTACTTGTGGAAATGCTGAGCCCAGAAGCATGCCTGTATTTAAGTGCATTTTGAGGCGCCTCAAAATGCACTGGAACGCTGGGCCCAGAAGCATGCCTGCCTGGCTCAAAAGTAAAATCCACAAAGGAGCGACGTCTAGGCCCTGCCAGGCATGCTGCGAGCTATGGCTTGAGCAGAAGAAATTTTGCGGCACCTGGGAACTCAGGCTCAGGGGAGCATTTGTATAAAGAACTACCTTTTGAGTCGAGCCGACTCAAAGTCACCTCCATATGAAAGCAAAGAATCCACGACATACCTAGAGGAGTGACGTCAGGACCCAGGCATGCTGCCAACCCCGGCTTGGCGTTGATGATGGCTCAGAACTCGAACCACCAAGAATAGCACAGAGCAAACCACAGATAAAGCACAGCACCAGGATATGGGTTCGAACCGCAGCAAACGGAGTGGTCTCCTCAGACTACAGATAAAGCACAGCACAGAGCAGCACAGCATACCTACCTAGCTTTGAGTCGACGTCAGGTCCCAGGCATGCTGCCAACTCCGGCTTGGCGTTGATTATAGCTGCCTTTTTTGCGACCACCTGGTGGCGTGGTGGGGGTTGAGAGCGGTGGTGTGCGGTGAGAGGGGGATGGCATGGTGGGATGGCTTGGGGTGTGTGGGGGGCATGCCATGTTGCATGGCCTACTTAGCAAAAATCTGGCCTTGCACGGAACGAGTGGTGGTGTGTGTGAGTGTGGTGAGAGCAACGGGGGGAATGGCATGGCATGGCAGCATGGCTTGGGGTGTGTGTGTTTAGTGTGGTGAGAACAACGGCCCTTGAGGTGCCTCAAAGCATGATAGCATGATGATATGGCATGACGGCATGGTGGAATGGTGGAATGGTGGCACAATGGCCCCTCTTTCAAGTGCTCACCTCTTGAAAGTCCACTTCAATGAACCTATGGGGGGTTCTGCCCTCTGTCTGCCATCACAAAAGACACACGGCAGAGAGAAAGAGCACAGTGAAGTGAGGATCCGAGCCGCCAGTTGACTTTTGAGTCGACTCAAAAGTCAACTCGGCCCTCTGTCTGCCATCACAAAAGGCACACGGCAGAGAGAAAGAGCACAGTGAGGTGAGGAGCCGCCAGGTATGTCTCCTGGGAGCGGTCAAGACAGGCAAGGGGAGTCAAAAGAGTCAAGGGAGTCAAGAGCAGGATCGGATGTGACTCTGCAGATCATTTTCCCAGGGACAAGTAGCAGCGGTGAGGAGCTGCCCCGACGGTTAACAACAAATACGAATGTGAAGGGGATTGAATAGCAGCAGGTGCCTTGACTTGAATCTCACCTTGACAATCGCTAGGACATGCAGAGAGAATGCACCTTATGTCTTTTTAGAATTCTCAAAAAACATACGCTGCACCTGGAGTCTGAAGAAGAGGGTGTCAAATCCAGCTTCCGGAGAGATGATCTGCAATTTCCCCATGGACTCGCTTGACTCCCCTTGAATCCCCTTCAACATCGCTTTATGAAAGACACAGAGAACTCACTTGGAGTCTGAAGAAGAGGGTATCAAAGCCTGCTCCCAGGGAGATGATCTGTAAAGCTACATCTGGACCCCCCGTTGACTCTCTTGACTCCCCTTGACTAGGGGCTCTGGCCTTATCCTCGTTATGAGCTGATCTGTTAACGGAGAGGAACTGGTCGACCAGCTGCTGGAGAGCAGCCCAGCGGGCAAAGTAGCCTCGGTGGATGACGGGGGACCGCCTGGCGGGGCGGCGCACGAATAGCTTCACAAAGGGGTCCTGGAAATAACCCTTTGTTACGCAGGATCTGTTGAGGGAGAGAGGTAAGGAAGGGAGAGAGGTAAGGAAGGGAGAGAGGTAAGGAAGGGAGAGAGGTAAGGAAGGGAGAGAGGTAAGGAAGGGAGAGAGGTAAGGAAGGGAGAGAGGTAAGGAAGGGAGAGAGGTAAGGAAGGGAGAGAGGTAAGGAAGGGAGAGAGGTAAGGAAGGGAGAGAGGTAAGGAAGGGAGAGAGGTAAGGAAGGGAGAGAGGTAAGGAAGGGAGAGTGAAAAAGAATCTGAAATCAGTGTTGATTGATTCGACAGCGCGGCGCCGGCGCCTCAAAGGCGAACAAAGAGCTTCACAAAAGGGTCCTGGAAATAACCTTCGGTGACACACGAACTGACAATGGAGTATAGGGGTAGCGGGAAAGGGTTGGGTGAAACATGGTTCGCTCTTCTGCTCTGTGATGCCTCAAAAGCAGGTTGTTCCTTTGAGAATTCTCAAAGGCTGCCAACAAAGAGCTTCACAATGGGTTGTGTTTTGAGGCTACTCAAAACAAGGGTTGGGTGGAACATGGCTGGCTATTCCTCAAAACAAGGGTTGGGTGGAACATGGCTGGCTATTCTGTGATGCTTTTGAGAGTTCTCAAAAACAGGTTGCTTTTGAGAGTTCTCAAAAACAGGTTGCTTTTGAGAGTTCTCAAAAACAGGTTGCTTTTGAGAGTTCTCAAAAACAGGTTGCTTTTGAGAGTTCTCAAAAACAGGTTGCTTTTGAGAGTTCTCAAAAACAGGTTGCTTTTGAGAGTTCTCAAAAACAGGTTGCTTTTGAGAGTTCTTAAAAACAACCGTCAACAAAGAGCTTCACAAAGGAGTCCTGGATGGAAACAACCCTTGGTCACGCAGGAGCTGCAAGAGTAGGGGCCTAACGTAAGAGGGAGAGTGGAGGAGGGGAGAAGGGGTGTGTGTGAGTCATACGGAAGTAGCGGCTTCTGGAGATGCAGGAATTGCTGGGGGGAATGTTTGCTTACTAACGTGAAAAACTCAAGTAACAACAATACTTCATAGGCGGCCGCCCTGGTGGTTTCCGTCTTTCTGTCCTTCCTCGTCGCTCGTCGCTCGTTGTTTTCCCGTCTTCCGTCGCCTGAAAGTTGACTTGTGAGTCGATTCAAAGGTCAACAATACTTCACAGGCGGCCGCCCTGGTAATTTCCGTCCGTCGTTCCTCGTCGCTCGTCGCTCGTTGTTGTTTCCCGTCTCCCGTCGCCTGAAAGTTTCGACTCAAGCCATTCCGTTTTAGTCCCTAGGCTCATGACGTCACAATCCCTGGAATCATGACGTCACAACCCTGGGATCATGACGTCACAATCCCTGGATTCATGACGTCACAACCCCGAGATCATGACGTCAAAATCCCTGGACTCATGACGTCACAGCCCCGGGGCCTTGCGCTTGGTCCCACTCCGGACAATGCTCAAGCGCCTGCAAGCGCTTGCCGGCCAGTATTGTCACGAGACGAGTTTTTCTGTTTCTCGGTTGAGAAACGGCCTCGCAGTTGACCCGCTCAAGGAAAAAATCATTTCTAACAACGTTTTGCTAAGCAAGCTGCTGCCACGCTAAGCCATGCCTCCTACGTGGGGATCTATTGAGAAACGGCCTCGCAGTTGACCCGCTCAAGGAGATGCTCACAATTCATAACGGTCGCGACGTCGTCTCGGGTTTCCTGCCAAAAAAAACCTCGTCTCGTGACAATACTGACAATGCTTCACGTACGGTTCGGATCATATCACCCGCTACAGACAATACTCACAGCTTACTGACGGTCGCGTCGTCGTTTGTCGCTTGAACGTACTTCTCGTTACCCGCCATTAGCACCCAGCGCTGTAGAAACAAGTGATTTCTGTCGCACGCACCAGCGCTGTACGAACAAGTGATTTCTGTCGCACGCACCAGATCCCAACAATGTTCTGTGGGAAGTCTCCGCACCGTAATACCAAGACGGCGGAGATTTCTAGACCGTGGAACAACAGAAGGCGAATCCTGGCGATTCCAGGCGAATCCTAGCGAGGCCTGGTTGGATGCTGGAGTGCTATGCTTTTCGCTGGCTGGCACACAGCAATCACAGTGCCGGAATCGCGGAGAGATTCCCCGGCAGAGCCAGCTTACGCTTTATTGAATGATTTGTCTATATTACTACAGTTCTGATTCTATTTTGCTTTCCAAACGATGGGAGTATTGTCGAAGTGTGGACTTCATTGAATCTAGTTTGGACACCTCTCTTCTCCACCTCATCAGCCCTCCTAGATCGTTTCTTTTCCTCATGCCTGGAAATGTTCCATCCCCAACATACATCAGCTTCGAAGACCTGTCAAGCCAACCAAGGTTGGATCCACTGATTATCCACCAGCATGTAACATTCGTTAAAACGTACTACTGCGTGCTCAATATTCCCACTATTTAATTCTCAAGGCTTCTCGGGCTCTTGAATACTCTTACTCGCCCCGTTTCATTCAACAGGCTCCTTGCTTACCTCGACAGAAATTCCATTCTCATCTCATCTGAACCCTCTCCTTACATATCCAGTCAGATTTTCCCATTTTTTCAATTTATAAAATGCTGCTCGTAGCCCCCGCTCCCTCCTCAAGCTTCCGCCTCTCTTTCTGAAATCTCCCTCCTCTCCTCTTCAGCACTTTCATTCTCATCATACCCCTCTCCTTCAACATACGGCAGCCACTCAATTCCAACCAATCATGTTCAAGCACCTCCATCCTGCTCTCAGCCCGCTCTCTCCCTCCTCAAGCTTCTGCCACTCCCTTTCAAGTCTCCCTACATTCCTCTGCAGCAGACTCAGTGCTTTCATTCTCATCATACCCCTCTCCTTCAACATAGCCGCTCAGCTTAAGCCAATCCTCCTGGTCCTCCATGCTGCTCTCAACCACGCCCTCCCCCCCCCCTCCCCCCCCCCCACTCTTCCCAATCCTCAAGCTGGTGCTACCCCTCTGAATTCGTATCTCTTTCTTCCACGGCACTTTCATTGTCCTCATAACCCTCGCCTTCAACATAGCCGCTCAACTTAAGCCAATCCTCCTCAGGCTCTTCCATCCTGCTTGGAGCCTGCTTTCGCCGCAGCAAGGCGTACGAGCCATACTTGACGAGCCTCTCGGACAGGCCCGGGATGAAGAAGGCTCGGTAGAGAGCCGGGGAGCGCTGGGCGTCCACAAACGGGAGGGATGCCAACACCTGGGAGACAAGGGAGGGCGTGGAGAGGGAGGAAGTAGTGAGGGAGGAGGTAAAGAGGGAGGAAAGGGAGAGAATAGAGAAGGGAGGGTGAGGAAGGGGCAATGGTTGTTGTCAGTTAAAAAAAAAAAAAAAAAAAAAGATAACAAAAGCAGGCATTTGATCCTCCCAGGATGCTTCCTCTCTCCCCTGCCACTATGCTTAAACTCCATACCTGTCGAACCGTAAGGCGCCCTTGCACTGCCAATCCCTCTCAAGACCCCATGCCCACGAATCCCAAACTACTCACCTCCCATTCGTTCTCATCACGACTTGACACATCTCACAACTACCACGCAGCCATGCTGCCTCTCTCTAGAATCTCTACTCTTCAGCCGTTTCAAACACTCACCTCCCATTCGTCCTCGTCGTGCCCTCGCAGGGCATCTGCTCCTTCCAGGATGCTTCCTCTCACCCCTGTCATGCTGACGTGGCGCGAGTTGTCCAGCTCGACCAGATAGTCGCACAGAGACTCGTCCAGCTGGCGTGACGCAGTGTGCATGTGTGTGTGTGTGTGTGTGTGTGTGTGTGAGTGTGTGTGTGTGAGTGTGTTGGGGTGGGGAGAGTGAAGGGGTGAAATGGAAGGGGACAAGCATATCATAGGGAGCCATGATTTGGCAGGTAACTCAACCGAACAGTCACACAAAGACTCGTCCAGCTGGCGTGATCCCATGTGCAGGGAAAGGGAGGGGCGGCAGAAGGGATGGGATGGGAGGGGAACATTGGGTGCAAGAGAAGGAGACGAGCACACGGCAGGTAGGCAAAATCAACCAGCTCAACCGGACAGTCACACAGAGACTCATCCAGCTGGCGCGTGATGCTTAATGCACAGCGAGGGGCGGCCGGCAGCTGGGGGAGGGATGGAGGGGAGCATTGGGTGCAAGAGAAGGAGACGAGCACACGGCAGGTAGGCATGAGAGGGCGGCTCCACCAGATAAACTCACTCAAGACAAGCAACGCCCCCGCCCCCGACTCACGAACTGCTCCCGGGCGTGGCTTGCTTCCTGTCGTTGCAGTAAGAGGCAGCGGACTCAGCCCCACCTGCTTCCGGATCGAGGGGGACGGGCATCAGGCCCTTGAACATACTAGCAAGCCCCACACATGAATGTTCAGGAAGAAAGCCGATCTTCAGCCCCACCTGCTTCTGGATCTGAATACCACAAAGAACTCGACTCACTAACTGCTCGGATGTGGCTCGGTTCCTGTCGTTGCAGTAAGAGGGAGCAGATTCGGTTTCCCCTTTAAGAGGGAGCAGATTCGGTTTCCCCTTTAAGAGGGAGCAGATTCGGTTTCCCCTTTAAGAGGGAGCAGATTCGGTTTCCCCTTTAAGAGGGAGCAGATTCGGTTTCCCCTTTAAGAGGGAGCAGATTCGGTTTCCCCTTTAAGAGGGTGCAGATTCGGTTTCCCCTTTAAGAGGGAGCAGATTCGGTTTCCCCTTTAAGAGGGAGCAGATTCGGTTTCCCCTTTAAGAGGGAGCAGATTCGGTTTCCCCTTTAAGAGGGAGCAGATTCGGTTTCCCCTTTGTTCCCATCCCCTTCGTTCCCACCCCCCTGCTTCCAGGTCGAAGGGGATGGGCAGCACGCCCTTCATCCACCCTGCTGGCAAGGTGACTTTTGAGTCGACTCAAAAGTCACCTCCAAGGGGATGGGCAGCACGCCCTTCATCCACCCTGCTGGCAAGGTGACTTTTGAGTCGACTCAAAAGTCACCTCCAAGGGGATGGGCAGCACGCCCTTCATCCACCCTGCTGGCAAGGTGACTTTTGAGTCGACTCAAAAGTCACCTCCAAGGGGATGGGCAGCACGCCCTTCATCCACCCTGCTGGCAAGGTGACTTTTGAGTCGACTCAAAAGTCACCTCCAAGGGGATGGGCAGCACGCCCTTCATCCACCCTGCTGGCAAGGTGACTTTTGAGTCGACTCAAAAGTCACCTCCAAGGGGATGGGCAGCACGCCCTTCATCCACCCTGCTGGCAAGGTGACTTTTGAGTCGACTCAAAAGTCACCTCCAAGGGGATGGGCAGCACGCCCTTCATCCACCCTGCTGGCAAGGTGACTTTTGAGTCGACTCAAAAGTCACCTCCAAGGGGATGGGCAGAACGCCCTTCATCCACCCTGCTGGCAAGGTGACTTTTGAGTCGACTCAAAAGTCACCTCCAAGGGGATGGGCAGAACGCCCTTCATCCACCCTGCTGGCAAGGTGACTTTTGAGTCGACTCAAAAGTCACCTCCAAGGGGATGGGCAGAACGCCCTTCATCCACCCTGCTGGCAAGGTGACTTTTGAGTCGACTCAAAAGTCACCTCCAAGGGGATGGGCAGCACGCCCTTCATCCACCCTGCTGGCAAGGTGACTTTTGAGTCGACTCAAAAGTCACCTCCAAGGGGATGGGCAGAACGCCCTTCATCCACCCTGCTGGCAAGGTGACTTTTGAGTCGACTCAAAAGTCACCTCCAAGGGGATGGGCAGCACGCCCTTCATCCACCCTGCTGGCAAGGTGACTTTTGAGTCGACTCAAAAGTCACCTCCAAGGGGATGGGCAGAACGCCCTTCATCCACCCTGCTGGCAAGGTGACTTTTGAGTCGACTCAAAAGTCACCTCCAAGGGGATGGGCAGCACGCCCTTCATCCACCCTGCTGGCAAGGTGACTTTTGAGTCGACTCAAAAGTCACCTCCAAGGGGATGGGCAGCACGCCCTTCATCCGAGCACGATAAGAAGGAGCGGACTTGGTCCCGCCTTGTTCCGGGTCCAAGGGGATGGGCAGCACGCCCTTCATCCGAGCACGATAAGAAGGAGCGGACTTGGTCCCGCCTTGTTCCGGGTCCAAGGGGATGGGCAGCACGCCCTTCATCCGAGCACGATAAGAAGGAGCGGACTTGGTCCCGCCTTGTTCCGGGTCCAAGGGGATGGGCAGCACGCCCTTCATCCGAGCACGATAAGAAGGAGCGGACTTGGTCCCGCCTTGTTCCGGGTCCAAGGGGATGGGCAGCACGCCCTTCATCCGAGCACGATAAGAAGGAGCGGACTTGGTCCCGCCTTGTTCCGGGTCCAAGGGGATGGGCAGCACGCCCTTCATCCGAGCACGATAAGAAGGAGCGGACTTGGTCCCGCCTTGTTCCGGGTCCAAGGGGATGGGCAGCACGCCC